TCTGACATTGCTCTCTCACTTCTCTCGTTCTTTCACGTTTGGCAGACGACAAAGTGTGAGTGATAGTTATCGACATATTAATTATATTAATGGAATACAGTAATGTAACGTGATCTGGTGTAAAAGAAAATTTATTGCCAACGGAAAATTAGTTACCGCTCGCACTCAAAATTGCGAAACAATCTGTCAATTCGAAAGCTCGACGAGCTTTTAATTGCGTCCATTAATTGGTAGAGGAAAGCCGAATTAGCTTTTTCGTCGGTGAAAGTCATTGAAAATTTCGTTGAAACTCCATTCTTTTGGCCGACGAGTTTCCCGGCGTGGCGCGCCGTTTTCCAGATGCTCCCACATTGTCATCGCGACGCGCAATCAAACTCATTTTCGAATCACGGCTTCAACGTGAATGCTAAAATAGTGTCCACCGAAAATGGTTCTCGAGACTCGAAATCGATTTTCACGCGTGCATATTCTCTGCATGTCACCGAATAGTGTTAAGGATAAAATCATTCACAAACTTCATTATTTCATCTAATTCTCGTACGATTATTTTAATAAAATTGTTTTAATAGAATTTCTATTTTTATAAAATAAATCAACATGAAACGTATAAAATAATGTCTCTAATTGTATTTATCAATGTACTGGTTATTACACAGTTTCAAATAAATCAATATTTGTCAAACCACAAAATTTGTTTGCTGCTATCTATAAATTTGATTTTGGCTTGCCGTCTCTGTCTCTGATCCGACTATGCTCTTTATTAACTGTTCAGTGGCTTGCAAACAAGACTGCACGTAAGCAAAGTTCGCTTTAATGATGCCATTAAATAAAGGACCGCCGATATTACAAGATTCAGTTTGGTCTTGCTGTTTCTGTATCTCATTCGATCGTGATTGTTGCTGCGATTTGCAAACAAGACTGTGTGCGTGTACAGACGAGGCATAGAATGTTTGCGCGGCATGCACAAAACTGTCGTCCAACAAAGCCATCGTATCGGCACGGATAGGAGCGCCGAAATATCTGTCCCGTGATGCACTTTTTTCGCTTCCGTTTCATGCGCGGACGACGACGCACAATGCGCGCCATCGAACTGTATATCCAAGGTGGATGAACTAAAAAACAAAAAATCTGTTGCCCGGCCGCGAAACGGGAGAGATACTATTTTCTATCTCGTGCACAGCGTGAGTTTTTTTCCATAGAATTTCCAAACGCTGCCAGGGGACTACGCTAATTTGCATAGTTCGTACAATGTAGTTCTAAAAAAAGGTACGCACAAAATTGTCATGAAATTTCTTAATACGAGATTTATTCAACCACGTTGCAAACCGTCAGCAATTCAGTTCTATTGCATAATTTAAGTACCTTAAAAAGCTAACAGTATAATTTAATTTTTAAACCATTTTTTTCATCGTACAAGAGTTTGATGTAGTAATGCATACATTTTACTGGTGGATGATAATAATTATACTGCACATTTTATGCATTTGTAGAAAAATTAGATTTATACAGATTTCATTTTATATGAAAATCCGCAGTCTAGTGATAAAATTATAATGAAGCTAATAAAAAGAAAAATAAGAACTCTATAATTTCTAATTCGTGATTCTAATGTCTCAAATCTTCGAAAAGAAGTTGAATACAGTTTCCACCAACAAGGGTTGATTTCAGATTTCTAGAGAATTATCAGAGACACATTCTGAATCGATGAGGGGGTTAAGGATAAGAAGCTGTGGTCGATATGTCATAAGAAATGAGGCATTTACTTTCAGATAATTCCACTGTGGGGTGGATAACGGGTTCGAAGGGTTGCTCAAGAGGGATCGGCCCATAAATTATAGGCAACTCCGTTCCGCGGACGCAGTAATTGCCCGTTTCCATGGTTAGAGGACTCCGGGCACCGTGGCAGGTAAACGCCGTCACTGACCCATTGTGGTCAACGCGGTCTACGTATAGATTCTAACTGCATTGTGGGTAATATGCCGCGGGTAATACGCCAACTCGTACATGCGAGTCCTCCCTCTCAACCCCCTGAGCCGTGCATTAACACGAGATTCGCCTCGCGGGCATCTCTGCAAAATTCAACCCATCTACTCTCCGAATCACGTCGAATTTTTTGGTTACAGACTGTTTTGTTCGATTTGTACAGTTTAATCGTAAAATTGCGCGCAATTCACCGGAGAATAAGGTTAATTATAATATAAGTATATAGAATGTGATTTAATTATTCCTTTATCATGACAGAAATTAATTTATCATATCATGGAAGCTACTTTTAAGGGCAGTACGTTTCATGTTACGTCAGAAAAATCTCATTAATCACGCGGCGACATAAAGGATCTCTAAGCGACCGGGAGACCACTCGATTAGCAAATTCCCTTCTTCGCGGAATAGCGCATGACTGCATCGAAAACTATCCATTTACGTCGACTTCTCGGAAACCAGCTAAAGAACCAACTAGACGCTCCTTACACAAACCTCTTTGAAACGTCCGTTCCTTCCTTGCTTTTGCGATAACTTCGACCGCAAGCAAAACACACACGCGAATTTTAAAAATCTTTTGAAGTTGCAGCTGAACGGTAATCGCGATTACGGTATCCGGCAGGCTGGTGTTCTTTTTTTCATTTGAACGCTAATAATTTGTCATTTGATAAGATCGCATACAAATCTCCAGCTGTGTCTAGCCTAATGGATAACTGCACGTATGCATTGCAAAAGCGAGTGTATGAATTAGAGAGGTAGAATTTATTCGATGAACTCTTAGGAATTTTATTGCTTCGAGACCGCCCTTTCTTTCATTTGGAGTACAATTTTATTGAAATATATGACGTCCCTAAAGTCTGGACACATAGAAAATCTTATTAACTATAATTTTTTTCCTGGACAGATTAAATATGGATTTGTCGATGGAAGAATAGAACTGATACTTCTCACTCAGTGGACGTGAAGGATGGTCATATCGAAAGATAGCAGATGAATTTGAATGAAGACCTTATTCGATATTCCAATTGAATAAAATGTTAATAAATTCATTTGTTGAAAATATGGATTTTTGTTTGAGTCCAGACTTTCGGGACAGTTCGTATTAATACGACTTATCTAAGAATGTACTACAATCTTTGAATTAATGCAATCTCTAATGATTAATGAAATGGAGTATTTGTCAGGTTTTTTTATAGCCAATAAACACATGAAAACATGCTATGAAGGGAGGTGTGTTCTCATCGAAAGGACGAATTTTTCATCGTTCCGAACAGCATTCACCACTGCGCAGCGTAGGAGTGGCAGCGGCTGCTCCCCATCGTGGATCGACGGCACGAATGAAAAATGATCGTTCGCTTGTTTAACGAATTGATACTGCACTTTGCTGAATGAAATCGAGCGAACCGGGAACGGAGCTGGTTCGAATTCCGTCGAGAGGTTCTCTGTTACGTCTAAATTATTCTTGAGGAAAATATGGCCGCGATCGCTCCTAACCCATACGAGAAAGGACGGAGAGAATGAAAAAGCGACGAGGCGCATGCAAATTTCGTTTGAATTACTATTGCCGAAGGTATATTACGAAACGATAGAGATCGATCCTCGCCTGTATGAATATTCTACTAAGTCTGACTACGACCGACCCTAACCACTTTCAACCTCTAACGATGATCAACCATTGGCTCGAGGCTGGATTTGTTTCCCTTCAGTTGAGTCTGATCAAAGCCCGTAACTACTTATAGCTTATCATGTATATTAAGCCTGAAGGTACTATAATATGAAATAGCAAATGCTTCCCAATAATTAATTTCATTACACTGTACCATTAGTAGCATTGCATAGTCAAACTGCAGACTTCGTAAGAAAAATTGAACGCTGGATAAAAAGTGAATAAACATTGCAATATTTAAACGCTAAAAGAAGTTTCAATATGAAACGCACTTTTTAACTGGCTCAATGTTCTTGAATAAAAATCTGCATGAATTGGATATTAATCCCTAATCTTCCGCTTGAGCTTTGGTAAACGAGTAGAACAATCGTGTTTAAAACCTAGCGAGAAGCCAACAAGTAGCACAATAATCCATCTCCTTTGAGTTCGAAGTGGCGGTATCCGAGCTAAGCCTCCTAGCTTAGGGGATACTAAGCTCCGGCTATGTCCAATTACCATACAAGAGTTGACTGACGCATTGAACACGCAGCACACGTAATAACGAACGCGATATCACCGTCCAATACCTTCCTACGTACAACGTCAATGACACCCACGTCAAAACGGTCAGATCAAAGAAATTCATTTCTCCGTTGTTCTACTGTCTCTCATACTTCCATATTCTACGCGTTGGTAATATTTTTATAGAAAATATTTACCAATTTGAATCAGATAATTTGCTTCAAACTTTTACTAATTTTCTCTCAAGTAGTTAATAAATACATCGCCCGAAACGGGATTATTAATTACAGAATGAAACGCGAATAACTATGGAAACATCGAGGCTCGAGTTTCGCATTCGATTATCGGAGCATCGAAAAGTTGACCGGCTTAATTGCAGATCGCGGTTCGTTCAATTTGCTAATGGTTCGCGATATACGGTGGGCGTACACGCTTCTCTTCGGTTCGCGCGTTTACGCAATCGCGCGCTTACACCGTTATTAACCCACTTCGTTACCGGTCGATGATGGATTGCCGGGTTAGCGGACGGGAGGAAGGAACGAGTCATCGACTATCCAGGAAGGAACTCGCGTGAAACGACCCGATCATCGGGATCATCGACGATGCCCTCGCGTTTTCATCGAACGATGGCTTACAATTAGATGGACATTGATACAGAATTACCGTGGGAATGCATTCAGTCATATCTATAACTAGATGCGTAAAAATACTTGAAGCTCCTCTAAGAGTCTGACAAATATCCGAGATTAGTAATCACACACTACTCTCGCCAAGTCTAAATTAAGCATACTAGAAACCAGACGGAAAGCCTTAGATATCTCTTTTGCTTATAAGATTATCAATGATCTTATACCTTGCTCTGTCGAATACCAAGTATATCATTAGCCTTTCCTCCAAATGAATTTCTCTTGACCGTCTAGTTCACCTAGAATTATGTCACTCTAAGTTATTATTTTTCATTATTAAATTTTATATATGTTATCTTAAATTTATATTTAATTTTCACTGGGTTTTATTGCTGTATACCAATGGGTTTTACAAGCCCGTATATGAATAAATAAATACAAAACATACTGATTAAAATAAGAGTCACGAATGACTAATGCGAATAAGAATGCATATCAAGTTTATTTAAGGGTCAAGATCTGTTTTTTTTTCATGTAGATCACTGGTTGGAAGAGCATGAGGGGAATCAGCGTCTCGAGTATGATTAAATCTGACGTAAAATGTCAGGGGAATGTAAATGCAGTAGATTGCTCACAGATTCGTTTCGAATTTGTTTGCGTAACACGATGGTCAACCTGTTTTGTATTCAACGCGGCAGTTGTCAGTCGATTTGGGGTTGCTTGTCTCATACCGCGATCCGCATCTCGCATAGGGTGAATATAATACCGAGTTGGAAGAATTCGCTGCTAATTTTTTCGACCCGAATTGTTAATTTCGCAAAATTCAGTACATTTTTGGTACTATTTAGATTTCAGAATTCTATGACTACGTATTAAACAATTAAAAAATATTAATGCAAGTGAATTTTAATAACAAATCTAATTCTATTTTAATAATCGCTTTTAATAATCTTCGGATCTAGCTATTCATTTTTCATTGTATCAGAATCAATATAATTCTGTTCCATTTCCAAAAAATACAATAAGTATTCTATTTAATTTTAGACAAACTAGAATGAAACTTAAACGTGCTGTACTAAACTCAAATGAGTTACAATAATTGAATCTACTATCAATTCTATTACATTGAAATGATTATGGGAACGTTTGGACTTCAAGCAAACGTATCAGTTGGCCGACTCGATTCCTCTTATCATCCGGGATAAGAACGAAAACGCGTTGTTCTCGCTTTCTACTATTCTAGATGCTTAATGGTACGGGATTAATTCTGCTTGACGGTGTCTAACGATACTCGACGCGACGGAAGGACGCGATCACCAACGATGAATTGTTCCACGCGGTTATTCCCCCCCGGCCGTTTTAACTTCGAACCGAGACAAAATCGGATTAATTTAGACGCGACGCAACGGTAAACTGGAGCCACGGCACGGCACGGCACGCCGCTCTGGTTCGCGTCGGAGAATCGTTCGACCTTGACGAGTTTTACATGCATTCTGACACGCTACAGGGAAACGTGTATCGATCGAAGCCGGTAACGAGCTCAGCTCCTATTGTTAGCCGGCTAAGAGGCTTTTCACACGTTTTGGCCATTGGACAGTTTTTGCCGCCCGCGGCCACTTCATCATCACATTTCTCCTTTCATGTTTTGTTTGCATTATTTATGACAGAATTTACTTCATTAGTATTGTTAGAAACATACAACAATAAATTGATAAAAGAATACGTAAGACAGCGTTCATTGAGCGAATATCGTTTCCAAGTATAGCAAAATTGATAGATAAAGGATAATGCGAAATGGTGTTTCGCAATGATTAACCTTGTACAATTAACTTACAACATATCGAGATAATTGCAACGAGGATGAAGATGTTCGAAGGTGGTTTAAAAAGTCAAGAGTTGAAGATGATTCCAATCGAGTTAATCCGAGGGATTTTCCTTCCGGTGAAAGCGTTCTTTTGATCCACATGGATCGTTCCTTTGTCAGGGGGTTTATTATGAAACGAGGAAGGAAACTGTGGGAAGGCGAGCGTTTCAATGGTCGTGCACTTTGCTGGAGACTGGGTAATTTAGCTGCACGCAACCACCGAGCCCCCTCTCGATGAAATTTATTAAATTGTTCCTCGTTGTGTAATTCGCTCTGTCCTCTCCCCTTTCCCTCGGTCTTTCTTTGACGGATTGTTGCAATTGCTACTTTGTGCTCGTTAATCCACTTGGACGTTTCGTAGCTGCCCGCCTTTGTTACCCGTTTGTTAGGAATTTCGGATAACTTTTCTAGAATTGCTCGCGTGATTTTCCCAGTGACTGAACCAGATTTAACTCGCCGAGAGAGACTCGTACAAGTGCCACTTTTATTTGTTTTCGTTAATTAAAAGTCTTTTGTACTTAATTACTCGTCCTCACGAGTGAACCTACACTCAAGTGCCCTACTTTGATCTTGATGGAACTCGACAGGCGCGGAGAAAAAATATGTTTGATACGTGTTTTAAGGGTAGTTTCTATAATTTCCGATCTCTACATTTTTACTCTTCGAATCTGATACTAAACTCGTGTTTTAATTCATGTGATACATATTGGGTTGGCAACTAAGTGATTTCGGATTTTAAATAAAAAGTCTATTGACAGAATCTGCAATGATTTAGTTGCCAATCCAATATGTATCACATGAATTAATAAATATACCGCATTTCACGAAAATCATAAGAATTTTTTAAAAATTCATTCACTATATTGGATTTGCTACTCTAGATTGAACAACCTGGTTACAGCTGATAAGTAGACCATAAAAAATGTTTTATGTAGAAATTAAAAGGATGAATGTATACAATAAGAAAATTGAAAAGTTAGTGTTTTAAGGATTTCTACCCTTTATGTATCAAAATGTACAAAACACGTGTCGAATATTTTTTAACACTCTTCACACCTTCTAAATGTCGTTAAAATCAGAGTGGAACACTTAGGCAGATCTGCCTGTCAGTTGTTTTCATGTTACTAAGGCAATAATGTAAAAGAAGATACTCATTTCCCCAGGGATATGTAGTTCCCATACATCCAGCAGAGATGGACTGTACATTATCCCGGTGCACGTCGAGCGCAGAAGTATTATAACTACGAAGGTTTACACTGTCGGCGATCCGCGCCGCGCGGATATTCTCGTCAGCCTTGAAAGTATGCAAACTCACGTAAAACGGATGAAATCATCCGCACGCGATCCGCGAAGCGAGTTACTCGCGCACGGGAAGAACGCGTGCGCCGTCGTCGTCGCGGTCCTTCTCCCCAGGAATTAATGAATTAATCGAAGGACGACGACGCCGCGATCCTTCGATGATAATCGATCGGCGCAATCACCCACGCGTTGCTCGTTACCGTTCATCCAATCGTCGCTGCAAATTACGAACAGTGATTCGAAAGAGAACACGCGCTACTTGATATCCATACGGGGTTAGCAAATGAAACGAGATGAATTGGGAAATCGAATTTTTAGAAGCGGTAGAAACGATAGAATGCCAATTTGGATGGAGCACCAATTTTTTTCAGTTCAATGCTTCTAATCTGAATAGAGCCAATTGGATTTGAAGAGGCTATACGTATCGAATATATGCACTTGATTATTTCAAGGCCTTCAAACTTGTTAGTCTTTGCAAAACATCGATTGTTAGTTTTGAAAGCGTGCTGGAGTGTATTTTTATTGACGTCTCGGCCGAAGTAGTCAGCCTTGGAATTATTTTTCGAAAGGAGCTGAATCTTCCGAACGTTAAATAATCATGAAAACGGTCCCTAACAGTTTGGTTCTCGCGTTGGAAACACGCGAGCAGATTTCGACCCGTTTTGCAATGCTAATACAGATTGGCTTAACGGGAATAACGCGGTTACTGTTCTCCAAACGAGGAAATTGTGAACAGAAACCAAACGCCGCTTATTTACGAGTAGAGACACGTTCAAAATGCGGCAAAAACTAACGCCTATACCAGATACCTTAGCCATATCTCTTTCAGTTCCGCCCCATGCCAGCTCGAAAAACGATTAGCCCCGAAACTTCGTAGCAACAGAATTACCGAACTCCCGTCACGGTTCGAAAACTAGTCCGGTTTGTCCCAAATACGCTCTATACAAGTATACGCTTGCTCTCCCGATTAAACGACCTTCTACGCTAGAAATTTGTAATTCTAAGAGCCTCTTTACCGTCTGATTGCAGGTTTTGTAGTGTCGACACGACGCATCGATCATCGGAACACGTCCATGAACCATTACTGATACATCCATAATTTTTTGATAAAATAAAACTAGATTTAAATATAGATTTTAATAAATGATTATGAATTGCACGTTTACTTCGTACCACTGCCCGATAATGATATAAAATATTTATCAAATTCATGCTGTCAGCTCACATTAATTTTTTAAGTAAGATTTTACTTCGGTTGCAGATATTAATATTCAAAATTCAATTAAGGGATCATGCATGCATAGAAAATTTAAATAACGTACAAGTGTATGAATGTTTTACGTTAATTATATGTATATTAGCAAACAGGAAATGTTGTGTACCATGACGAAACGTAATAATCGTGCAAAGGAAGCAGCAGTAGCATCGATTTTTTCCCCAGTTTCGTCCTAAATGTTAGTAGTTAAACGGTTCACGTAAAATTCCGCAGGCTCGTCGTCCATTTGCGAGATTACAGAGCCGGAGTAACAGGAGCGTCGCGTCGCGTCGTGTTGCAACGTAACATAACGCTTTCAGTCAGAAGGCGACCTCAAAAAGTTTTCGCAGCGTCGCGCGACGCTGCAACGGAAGGGAAGTTTCCGTTTGCCCCGGCCAAAAGTTTTATTACGCGTCCCGGAGAGGAGTCCCTAGTCAATATAACGGAACGCAGTATTCAGACACTGTTTAAACAAATTCTACGAGGAACCAGTTTCTTCCAACTTGTAGCCGCGCGCCAGAACGATGCGACATGGCTAGCGTATTCGTGAAATATTGAAACGATTTCGATACACGGTTCTGAATACTGAGTTGGTAAATGCAGAAATTCAAACCTGTTTCTATTTTAGAAATGTACCTATTTTTTCATTACAATTTTGGATTCCGAGTGTATAAAATTATTTAATTAACCTCAGAAATAGAAAATGTTTATGATACTTGAACAGCTAAAAGCCTTATAATAAAAAGGAAGTGATTCGTTTTATACACGTTTTTATGAATGAGTCGAACGAACGAACGTCAAAGTGAATGAACGCGGAACGGCTTTAAGAAAATTCAAGTGGTTGTATTATAGAAAGCAATTGATCCAGTTTGCACCTGTGA